CAGTCCCCGAGCAAGCCGTGCTCACCGCAGGACACCCGACCTTGCAGGGACAGGGCTGCGGTACCAACAGCAGTGCGTGTGGACATCCAAGTCCCTTCATTTCCAAACAGGTTCCTTCTGGCTTTAGCTTTTAACATGCGGATGCAGTCTAGCTCAAGTGCAGAGACTAAACATGCCAGCAGACATTAGAGGAGATGCATTCGGGGCTGGGGTGTAGCTCAGGGGCAGCGCTCTTGCCGAGCAGTACATGAGGCCCTGGATTCTATCCCCAGCCACAGAAAAGACAAGAGTCTTGCATTTAGCTGAAACCGTGACATTACAATCCCGGACAACAACCAGGATGAGGGAAACCCAAGAAGTTTAATGTGCAAAAGGACCTGTGATATACCTTTTAGAAGTGGCTCCTGTCCAACCCAGGGAAAGGAAATGCTGCCTAATATAAAAGACCGGGGGTGGGACGAGGGCTAGATGCAAAGCCAAGGATGCCAAGCGTTCCTGGCTCCTCGGTCACGTGAGCACTGCCAACCCACTGTGCCCCCACACTCTCCACCCACGTGTCCCTCCTCCCTGCTGGACAGCTGCTGTGACCTTTCAGGAAAGCCACTGGTCATTGGTCTCAAGAGCCCTATAGTTCTATTTCCAGCCACCTACACTAAAGCAAAAATTGGAAGCAATTGCAATCTCCGAACACATGTGTTAAATAAATTTTAGAACATGCTCTTGGGGGGGAAGAGACGCATGCAAATTCTCCCCCTCTAAGGTCATGTAGAAGGTGCACGCTGCCCAGCTGAGCAGACAGGTGGCCAAGGCACATGTGTAGACATTTGGAAGAAAACAGGGAACTTCTGTGGGTGCCTTTAGGTGTCTTGTTTCATGCTCATATTTATTTACCTTTCAAAATGCTTGCAACACCTGGCTTTTATATATATATATAAACAGAAAAGAGGACAATCTGGCAAGCTAAGAACAGTTACTATCGCTTCCTCTGGGGGGTGGGGTCTTCCTTAGAGTAAAGGACGGCTGTTTACCTATCGCTTCTCTTCTAGGAGCGTTCTGGAAGGCCTTCCCCACAGGCCGGCTCCCTTGGCCACCTTCCTGAACTTTCACCATGCTAACGTCTATAAACACAACATCAAATATTTATGGTTGATATTTGCTGCTTCTAAAAATACTTGGAGGAGAAAGGAACTCTCTTAAGGAGGCCTGCACTTAACCTTCTCGCTGAGCTAGCCGAGCCTTCCTCTTTGGAGACAGCTGCCCACAGCATGGACGGCCGGTACCCTTCCCTCTCAAAAGCCCAGTCCTTCTGCCCAAGCTGGTTCCCTGGGACCAAATTAAAGCCCTGGCTGTTGACTTACTCCACAAGTAAGTAAATATTACATAATGGATGAACTGGGAGCAGGAAAAAAACGATTCCCCTCTCAACAAAAACCACTTTGAATGCTTTTACCAAGACAGGTCACCAAACTGGAATATACAGTCAAACTGGTGGTGGTGTGGGCGGGGATCAAAAGATCTGGGAACCAAAAGCAGCCTCAAGATAGAGTGAGGGCATTTCAGTATAGAATCTACCTCTCTAAATCCTCCCTCCAACACGGACAGTGTTGAGGCCAACATGGTAGAGCACTCCAAGAAAAACCCCATGCCTTCTGCAGAGAGATGGCACAGGTATATTTTCATGTAAAACCAAACAGTCAAGTGTCACACTTCCCTCCAACCCCAAAGGAAGAGTTAGAAGGGCACAGCACCCCCAGGACGCTCCTCCCCTTCCATAACCCCAGTCCAATCATGTGAAAAACACGCGGCCAACCCAAGCGAGGGCTTGTCCTCCTGCCATGTCAAGGTTGGCAAGCACAACCTTGGGGCTGGAGGTGCAGCTTGGGGGTGGCAGAGTGCTTGCCCAGCCTGCGCGAGGCACCGGGCGTGATCTGATCAGGCGTGGCACTGTGTGGTGAGAAAGTCAGTGCAGACACAGGGGTGCTTGCCTTTTCTGCACATGGACAACCCGTGGTACCACCCAGAACCAACCAGGCAAAATCTATACCCCTGGCTGTCACCAAGGCACCACCACCAAAAAAATCCACCATGTTAAGGCTCATTAGCATGGGCAACCCAACCCAGATACACACCAACACTGGGCTGTCTATCATCTCCCAACTGTCACTGACGGGCAGCCACTGCCTCCAAAACGCCACCTGCCTTCATGTTCCATCTCCGCTTTGGCATTATTGTTATTGGTTGTTTTTTCCCCTTGAGAAATTTTGGTTACCCACCTCAGACTTGAAAAGGAGAGAAGGTGAGAATTCTTATTGTTTAAAAATTGCCCTCAGGACCCTGTTCTGCTTATACAGATTTCCTCCAGCCTCCAAGAGGTGTCAACAAATAACTGCTGAAGGAATGGATTTTGTACTGCAAAGCACCAAGAAAATGCAGCCACCTCTTAAGCCACGACTAAGACAAAATGTTGTAAACTCTGAGCACTCGGAGAGAAGTCTCATCATTAGTCAACGCTGCCCATTAACTATACAGGTTACTCAATTGTTTCATTATTTTGGAAATGAAAGGCCAATATTTCCTAAATGTCTTGGGACAGAACAAGCATGTGGAAATGCGATAGCAATTTTGAAATTAACTGGAAGATAAACGTGAATTCCGAGCAGCAAGAAGAACCCATCCAGTAGGGGGTTCGATAACCATTTTCATTTGATTGGAGGAAAAGCCATTTTTCCTATTGAAGAGCTCAGTTAAGAGCACAAAATCGGTGCATAACATTTACTCATAGTTGACTGTGGTGTAGGCAAGGGAGAGCATTTATATGTAGGCTCTCTCAGCTCCACAGGTTAGGGCAAAGATTTGGTTAAAGAAGCAAGGGCAGCAGTAGTCCTCCTCCTAAATTACCAGTACCTGAGGTCAACTGTGATTCAAAAATTATCAAGAAATTTCCATAAACAAGTTTTACATTGCATGCTGTTCTCAGTAGTGTAATGAAATTTATGCAGTCTGACTCCATACTGCCCTGCATTTGAACACCCTTTGTCCAGAGTATCCACACTGTATACACTACCCACTCATTAGTCACTTGGCAGCATCTCAACTGTCAGATCAAGGGTTGCAGTTAACTCTAATGCTGTGTTTAAGTAGCCCTTATTTTATATAATAATGGCCCCAAAGTGCAAGAGTAGTGAGGCTGGCAACTCGGATCTAACAAAGAAAAGTCGTCTAGTGTTTTCTTTTGGCAAAAAATACAAAACTTTATCATGGGTTATGTAGGCACAGGGAACAATAGCACACGTAGTATTTGGTACTATCCATGGTTTCAGGCACCTACTGAGGGTTTTGATAAGGATCCAATGTGGATAAGAAGGGATGACTAATTTTTCCACCATTTCTTATCATGATTACACATTCAGAGTTATTCCTTAATCAGGATGCCAATTTGTGAGTATAAAAAAAAAAACAAAGAGATATTGTAGGCGATTTTTTCAGTGGCACCCAATGAGCCTTGCCTCCCGACACTTAAATTTACCACACTGTTGGTCTGAAATACAGTAGGAATTATTGTGCGTTACTTCTGTGACCGAGTTAGAAAAAGCAGGGGCTGCAGCCACACGTGGAAGGGCATGTAACAGAGCCTGCAGCCCAAACAGGTTTTCCAAGGTTTCACGCCACGCTGACACCTTGCCTGTAACTTCATCAGAACCAGCCAGCTGAGGTGCCCTGGGTGCCTCAGGTGACAGGACTCATGAGAGACCATCAACCACTAGCTGGGCTTTGGGGTCACCTGCTACACAGTGAAGATAACAGGGGCGGAAGCTGGAAGTGCATCAGCAGAAGGGAGGAAACTGGGCAGAGACAGCGACCCAGTCAATCCCGCTCCCCTCCAGCCTCCGCACGTCCATCATCATTACGTAGTTCCACTTGTTCCCTTAAAGCACACGAAGCAAAAGAACCCACAGAACACGTGGCAAACAGGTACCACCGTGCACAAGTACATTTTTGGTAACACCCAGATTTGGAAAGATCACACTGTTGAATCCCATCCCCCAAATCCCCAGGGAATAACTTGCTCCCCTCGGTGAAGCATTTCCACATCCATTTTAAATGAGAGCAGAAGAAAAGTCCTCGCTTAAAGTTCTTGATGTACTCTGAGGTCAATCCTAAGCGCATGTGATCTATTTTACCAAATTCTTGACATACAGACAGAAGAAACTTTCATCACCTTGCATCACTGTCACAGAGGAGATTCCCTTGAAAGAAAGTGTCCCTTTGTGACTTTAAAGTACTTATGTTATCTCACGGAACAGGGCTAAGACTTCTTCCAAAGCACCATTCCGGGCTCCGTTTGGTCAAACTTGTTTACGAGTCCCACATTATCTCCAGAAAAAGGGGAAAGGTTGGACACACGTGCTCATTACTTGGGGGTCAAATTAAGAAGCTCGTGTTGTTTGAGGGCTCTCATGATGATGAACGCATATTCTCAGCATAGCTCCTGGAAGCTGATCCTCCAGGGCCCCGAGTGCCTCCAAGGGCTGAGGTTACCTCCTGTTTACATGTGAGGCCACGGCTGCCAAGAGAGGAAATTCCAAGGTCAAGGTCTCACCTGCCCCCCTCCGGGACTTCCAAACACAGAACATTTCCCACTGGACGTTCTGTTTGTTTAACATGGTTCCCTGGAAAGAGCCGAGAGTCCTGAACAAGGTCCAACTTAGCCCCCAAGCCTCCTGTGCAGGATAACTTCTTTAGGAGAAAGCTGCATGAGGCCCCGTGGAAAGGGCCTTGGATCCCAGCTGCAAAACCATGAGGGCAAAACGGCTTCTCTCCTGTGATCCCGTCACTAGAACAGGGCGAGGGCTAAGCTCAACGTGGCCAGACTCGGGTGACCCTTTGGTGGCCGTGGGTCTGGCAGAGCTGGTGCTTCATGGCTGAATCAGAGAAGCCCAGATGAGAAGAGGCAAGAGGGCACTCAGCCTGCATTTGTGGAATTCCTGCCGTCCAGCCACGTGGAACAGCCAGATCCCGCGAGGTGTGACCAAGAGCAGGCTCCTGGACCAAAATCCACCTGGGCATGCAACTGTGAAAACCGCAAACCAGAAAACTCTCCCTCTGACCAGAGCACACGAGAAATCCCCTCCTAAGGGGAAGGCAATCGATGACCACACACACCCACTGTGCTTCATTTACTCCAAATGGGCCCTTCCATCAGGAAGATGGCTTCCAACCAGATCTAGTGTGGGGCCTCCCTACCCCGACAGGCCGCTGTGTGGCAGAGAACAGCAGTGACGCTGACCTTTGAGGGAACACTGCACTTGCAGGTTTGTTTTATTTACATGTTAATTTTATCAAAGTCAAGGAATGTGCTGTTTGGATTTCTTTGGCCTCTTTACAAAAAAGTCTAAATGGCGAGAGGCCACGGGCCATGCATGCTCACGTAGCTACCACAGACCACAGCTCAGAATCTGCAAGAGGGTGCGGTTGGTGGGACACAGCCGGTGTTATGGGTTTAACTGGGTCCCGTTAATCTGCAGATCCTCCAAACATGTCCCAATTCTGCAAGAGAATCCACGTAGATGTCAACAGTTAAACGAAGGTGGGGTCAAGTTAGACTAGGGTGGGCCCTCATTTAACATGATGATACCCTCTTAAGCTATCAGTCAACATAGGGCTGGGGGTGTAGCGCCATTGTGAGGCCCCGGGTCCAATTCCCAGCACTGGTGCGGGGGAGAAAATAAGAAGAGCTATAGAAAGACACACCCAGCAGAGAGAAGGCCAGGTGACAAGCAGAGACGGAGGGGAGGTGTCTACAAGGTAAAGGCCAAGGACTGCCAGAGCCACCAGAAGCTAGAAGATGCAAGGAAGGGTCCCCCACCGAGAGGCTTTGAAGGGAGCAGACCCTGCTGCCATCTTGGTTTTGAACCTGTGGCCCACAGAACCAGGAGACAATACATTTCTAAGCTGCCCAGTTGGTACTGCTTCGTTCCAGCAGCCCAAGGAATCCAAAACTCCACCAACACACACTAAGTTTCAGCATCACTGTTAGCAGAGAATCCACAGGCAGGCAAAGGACACTCTGGTGAGCTTTGGTCCCGTGTGGAGGGAGAGTGGACACAGAGGACGCACAAACCAAAATTATGGATTAACTTTTTAGTGATTCCACAATGTTGTCCAGAAATGTACACACACACACACACACAGAAGATGAGCACATTTGTTCATGACACTGGTGGACATACATGCATTTGCACTGGTTTTATATCACTAATTATTCTAAAAACAGGTGGTGAATGGATTTCAGATCAATACGAGACTCAAACACTGGTTTTTGCTTGGCCCCAGGGACCATCACACCAAACCACAAACAGATCAGAGACTATCACTAGGATGAGCTCCTTCAGCCCCAGCAATCAGCCTTCTCGACGCTTTCCTTAACAATTCCGAGGGCCTGCAGGTGTAGCTTAGTGGCAGAGCACTTGCCCAACATACGCAAGGGCCCGGGTTCCTTCCCTAGCACTGCAAATTCATAGTAATAACGATGAATCTGAAATGACTTCCCTCATAGGGGGACAGGAAGGACCTCAAATCCACCTACCTCGATGCCCACCTCTCATGAGGTCAGAAAAGCCAACCAACATTCCCTCTACTCGCGGACTTCTCCAGTGGACTGTTCAAACCCTGGGGCTTCTCATTCTCAACTGGCTCAAGAACGTCAGCTCCATGTGGATTGAGAAACATTTCAGTCAACAACTGAGTCCTGAGCTTGTTTTTAGGTCTTCTGGATTCTACAGCTTCATGTCTAAGTCAAACAGGACCAACTATTAGAAAATATAAGGTACTAAGAATCATTAAAACATTCCTGACATTTCCAAAAGGGAGAAAAGCCATCCCATCATCATTTATTAAATAACATATGTTATGGTCTGAATTTTAAATGTCTCCTAAAGGCCATGTGTTACAAGGCTTGGCAACAGACTGGTGCTACTGGGGGGTGGTGGGACCTTTAAGAGGCGGAGCCAGTGGAAAGAAGTGAGGTCAGTGGGGGGTGTGGCCTGGGGGGGATACTGGGACCCAGGTCCTTCCCTCAGCTTCCCTGAGGCTACAAAGGTGAGGAGCTCTGCTGCACCACATGCTCCCACCATGATGTTCTGCTGCGCCACAGGCCCAAAGCAATAGGGCCCAGCAAATGTGGACCATGAACCAAAGAAGTCTTTCCTCCCTGTTAAGTGGATTTATTAAATATCATTGCAGCAGAGGAAATTTTACTAAGCACAAATCTCTCATAAGAACTGAAATTCAGTGAGTTTGTACATGGTTAGAAGATGGAGAAGAATCTTAAGACGGCTCCACTCCATACTATGCAAGCGCGCACGCGCGCGCACACACACACACACACACACACACGCAGACCACATTTTTCAACTTCAAAGTCTCCCAAGGCATGGGAGCCCTGCATCCAGCAAACACAATCATCAATTTCGCTTCACACATGCTAACTCGTAACCTCCATGACAAGGCTTTCTGAGCCAGACTCTCAGAAACCTTGAGCTTTAGCAGTAAGACTGAGCCACTGTCCCCAGCCCTGCACTTGATAACCACGTACAGCTGGACATCACTGCATGTCACTGCCATGTCAATCAATAAGACAGCATGTGCATGAAAGGAAAAGAAGGGAAACCAAGTCACTCAGGTGGTAAGGATGCCCGGGACCTCCCAGAGTGTGTGTTCTACCCCCCCACACACCCAGGGACAGCCTGGACTACAGTTCCAAGGGTCTTGCTCACTGGGATGGCCTGCTGCTGGGGCTCATCCTCCTGAGTGGTGAGGGGATGGCAGAGAGCCCAGAGCATGCTACAGGGAAAGGGGACCCACAAGTCAGTCCCAAGTCACATTTCTCGGGACCATGGACGACGAGCCTGGAACAATGCAGGCACTGACTCTTATATTAACTCTTGACCCCAGAAATAGCAACAGGAAGTGCTACAGAATTATTATAGTAGTATAGTGTTAACAGTTCGTTTTATGCAGTTTAATTCTGCATCTTTACGTTGGTTACATTTCTTTCAACTGTGCACAACACCATGGAACATTTTGATAAACTTAGCTTCCTCCCCCCCCCATTGGAAGTGCTGGGGATGGAATCATGGGCTTCTTGCGTGCAAGGCAAGAGCTCTGCCACTGAGCTACACCCCAGCCCTTTAACTTCTCATAGATCTGTTTATATTGTACTGTAGTAAGTAATAAAATAGAATATTATCCACATTTATCTCATGCATTCAGAACATGTCTAACTTTTCCTTACTCGTCACTCTTTAGAAACTAGACGGTTCATTGTGTGTTTTTCCCAAATCGTTGCATATCTCCAGGAGAAGAATCTGGTTATACGAGTATCTGAGGTCAGCTGTGCGCATCCTGCCCTTGGGGACCATGTCCAGAGCTCAACACCTACCAGCATTCCTTTGCAATAAAAATCCAAGCCCAGGGGGCAAGCTTCCACCAGGAGAACCCAGCCCTCCCACCGCCCCTTCCTGAAGACTGTCAGAGACACCAGGCGTGGCCGGAGACTCCCTCCTTATATGACCCACCTGTTCTAGATGGTTCCACACAAGGACAGAGACCAGCTCCTGAAGAACAGTGGTGGTGGCAGCGGCCTGGGTGCCCCGCCCCCATCTCTGCTGTGAGCTCTGATCAGCTCATCCCAGACTCACTGGGACCTCATGGATACCCCAAGCTATCACCTGAAGCCACTCAACCAGACGTCTAGCAGTCCCCAGAGCACGTGTCATCAGCTGTGCATGCCCGCGCCCGTTTTCCCTGTTCCAAGATGTCCCTTGGCCTTTTCCTCTGCATAAATTCACTCTTCCTCAAAGGGTAAGCTGTAAAGCTGATGCCGTCCTTAGGCATCCTTCATGCTCCAGGGCTTGTCTGTGTTCAGGCTGGTTCTTACCCAATCAGGCTATTTAAAAAAAAAAAGAAAGAAAACGCGTTTCATTTATTATTGTACCTCTGCTGCTCCAGAAGAGACTGCCAGCGTTGGCTCAGTGACTTGAACTCAGATATATTATTAGAATGACACCCTACAAAACAGCATGGCTTTCCACAGGTCTAGACACACGGCAGCAGGCAGGCGGTGTTGGCCCGGTTTGATTTTAGGTTCGCTGACAACACATATTTCCTTTGATCCAACCGGGGTCAAAAGGGCTCAACAACATGACTGAGAGTGAGCACTTTTCTGTTATAAAGTTAGAATACCATTCCCTGTAGTACCTCTTCCAAGCTATCATGTTCATGCCATGCATCCCCTCCCAAATTTCTATGTTGAAACCTAACTTCTAAGGTGATGGTATTAGGATATAAGGTCTATGGGCTGGACCCCTGGGAGGTGGGGCCCCTACAACGGGGATCAGTGCCTTTATGAAAGGGTTCCCAGAGAGCTCCCTCAGTCCTCTCTCCCTTGAGGACACAGTGAGAAGGCACCGTCTATGAGAAAACAGGTCTTTGCTAGACGCTGAACCTGTTTGTGCCTTGATCGGAGAGTTCCAACCCTCAGAAGTATAAATGAAGTTTCTGTGGTTTATAAGCTACCAATTTGTTTTGTTATAGCAGCCCAAGCAAACTTAGCCATCCGGCTAAGCTATGATGCTTGGGAAAGTTAAAGTGGATTCAAAGAAATTTTTTTTTTTTTTTTTGGCCAGGGGTGCTTAATACCCAAGTCACATCCCCAGCCCTTTTTTGTATTTTATTCAGAGAGTCTCCTTAGTTGCTTAGGGCCTTGCTAAGTTACTAAGGCTGGCTTTGAACCCAACCCATGATCCTCCTGCCTCAGCCTCCTGAGTTTCTGGGGTTATAGGTATGAGTCATTGTGCCAGGATGATTCAATGCAGTTCTGACTTTACAAAATTTTGAGTTTACATTGGGCTTATTCAGATGTAGACCCATCGTAAATCAAAGAAATCTTCAAAGAAATACAGATAATCAACAAATATATGGTAAAATTGTTCAACCTCTCTAGCAGTTTTAGAAATATAAATCAAAACTATACTGAGATTCCATCTCTACTCAGAATGGCAATTATCAAGAATACAAGCAACAATAAATGTTGCTGAGAATGTGGGGAAGCTCATACATTCTGGTGGGACTGCAAATTGGTGCAATCACTCTGCAAAACTAGGATACGGAACCACCATTTGACCCACTATCCCACTCCTCAGTTTATACCTAAAGGACTTAAAATCAGCACATTACAATGACATAGTTACATCAATGTTTATAGCAGCTCAATTCACAACAGGTAAGATATGGAACCAACCTAGGTGCCCTTCAACAGATGAATGGATAAAGAAAACATGGTATATATCACATTGGAATATTACTAAGCCTTAAAGAATGAAATTATGGCATTTGAAGGTAAATGATGGAACTGGAGACAATCATGCTAAGTGAAATAAGCCGATCCCAAAAAGCAAAGGCTAAATGTTCTCTATAATATGTGGATGCTAACACACCAGGTCGGGTGAGGTGGACAGACGTGCAGATTAGAAAAAGGGGAATGAAGCGAAGGGAGTGGGGATGTGAATGGAAAAGACAGTGGAATGAATCAGACACTTTCCTATGCTCATATAGGAATACATGACCAGTGAAACCCCACATCATGTACATCCACAAGAACGAAATCAAAGTTAGACTAAGGTGTACTCCATGTTCGTATAAATATGGCAAAACACTCTACTGTCATGTATAACTAAAAAGGATAAAGATCATTTTTTGTTGTAGTTGGACACAATCCCTATTTTTTTTTATACTTTTATATGGTACTGAGGATTGAACCCAGGACCCCCCACATGCTAGGTGAGCACTCTACCGCTGAGCCACAACCCCAGCCTCAAATAAAGATCATTTTTAAAAAAGCATTAAAAGGGGGGGGGGCATCTTCAGTAAATGACTGAAAGGACGAGGGCTGTCCGCGGGTCCCTTCTTGGGCTTGCGCTTCAGTGGAGCGCCAATGCTGGGCTGCTCTACAGCTTCAGGCGGACAGACCCCTCTGGCTTCGCTGCGCTGCGTGATCTAGACATTTTCCATACGCTCTGGACATTTCACACATCTCTTTCTCTGAAAAGGCATTCTACCCGCGTCTGACTCTTGGCATTTAGCGTACATTCTGGCCGGTGGGAAGCTGGATGTGTGTGTGGGATGGAAAACGGAGGAAGCTGGAGCTCACTGCTGCTCCAAATTAATATCTTTGGGAGGAAAAACACTCACAGAATTTCATAAAGGAAACGAAAGGCAATTCTACAGGGTCATGAAGAACTTCAGTCTCGGAAGCACCCCGCTAACCTCAGGTTCAAAAACAGAGCAGAGTGGCCGGGGTGGAGCTCAGTGGTACTGCCCTGGGTTTCATCCCCATCACTGCAAAAAATAAACGAATCAAACAGAAAAAAAACATTCTGGGCTTTCTGCACTAGCAGGTCCTTCCGTTCGTTTCCCAACTTTACTCCTTACTGCTCAAATTGTTCCTCCACATCTGGTCTCTCCTTCCTCTTTGAAACTTATGTAGGTATGTTTAAAGCCTCCATCTTTTAAAAGCCACCTGCTCGGCTGGGGGCAGTAGCACACGCTTGTAAGTCCCAGCGGCTCAGGCGGCCAACGTAAGCTCAAAATATTGTAAAGGCACAACTGCACTGAATCAGCCCGGCACAAAGGCTCATACCTACAATCGGAGAAACTCAGGAGGCCGAGGCAGGAGGATCACAGGTTCAAAGGCAGCCTCAGCAAAAGCGAAGCACCAAGTGAGACTCTGTCTATGAATAGAAAACAGGGCTGGGGATGGGGCTCAGTGCTCGAGTGCCCCGAGTTCAATCCCGGGTATCCAAAAAATAAAAGCCATCTTTTTTCTGAATATGAAATCTTTTTTTCTAATTTGTTTTCCCCGAGTCTT